TCAGTGATGCTCTTCAAGCTTCCCCACACAGACAAGGAGTCATTGGTTGAAACCTGGGCTTTCAACTTTTCAGAGTAGCCCCTCTTTGCTGCTCTGATCTCCCTTGTCAGTGTGTTCCTGGCCTGGTTGTACAGAGCCCTGTCCCCACTATTGTAAGCCTCCTCTTTGGCACAACGAAGCTGCTTGAGAAGAACAGGATTGTCTGATTGTGTTCAGACAGGATTGCAGCGCTACTGAAAGTGGCAATACCCACGGGGCAGGAATGGCCGCCTTCGTCAAACAGTCCTGGTGCACAGACTGTAAGATTATCTCCAATGTGCTTCTGTTCCGAAGATGTGGAATATCAGGTCATTTTATTTATCTAGGGAGCTGCAATGTATCATTGTGAGTGCAGTGTAACCCCCCACCACCACTGCAATCTCAGGAAAAGCATACCTAAACTGTATCAGTTAATAACCTTTCCTACTAGTGGAAACAAAACACTGGACCAATGTTGCAGTAACATCAGAAACGCTTTCTCAGCTGAATCTAAGCCTTATTTTGGTACATCTGACCACCTAGCAATCTGGTTAAAACTTGCTTACACCAAAAGACTCAAGGCGAAACCAGTCTCAGTGAGAACTGTTAACACCTGGAACGACTGTGCACAGGCCAGCCTGCAGGGCTGTCTAGAGGCCACAGACTGGAACATGTTCAAATGGGCCACAGACGACATCCATGAATATGCAGAGACTATGAATGACTACATCAGCTGGTTCACATTCATATGCGCACCAGCTAGAACGGTGCGTGTTTTCCATAACAAAAAACCCTGGTTTAATAGGAATATAAAACAAAATCAGGAAGAGACGAGAGACTTTTAAGTCAGGGGACCAAGTGGAGTACATGAAAGCCCAGTACGAGCTACAGAAGTGCATCAGAGCTGCAAAGAAGGCATACCTCCAAAAACTGGTGAGCTACTATGTGAATAACAACACTCGCAGTGTGGCAGGGAATCCAGGCAGTCACAAACTACAGGAACAAATCAACAAACACAGCCCCCCAGGACACTGCCCTCCCAGACAGCCTCAACAACTTCAATGTGAGGTTTGACAGAATGAACACAGACACCCTCTCAAAATCCCCCTGCGACCTGGGGGACGCTGCTTTTCAGGTGATGCACACACAGATCGGGAAGGCCCTGAAACAGATAAACCCCCATAAGGCGGCGGGACCAGACGGTGTCCCCCCCAAGAGTGTTGAGAGCCTGTGGGGATCAACTAGCTAGTGTGTATATAGACATCTTCAACCTCTCTTTAACCCAAACAGTAGTTCCTCAAATTTTCAAAAAATCCATTATCATACCGGTCCCTAAGACATCAGCCACATCCACTCTGAATAACTTCAGGCCAGTGGCGCTGATATCAGCTGCCATGAAGTGCTCAGAGATTATGTTCTTAAAAGGGGCAGAGAACATAATCAGGGATCCACGCCACCCAGCTCACACTCTGCTCAGACACAAAAACTGCACCTACAGCCTCAGGGCGGACAGTATCATCACACACAGAACTAGACTTTACAACAGCCTTTTCCCTGCCGCAGTAAGACTGATGGTAAATACGAAAATGTGAGAACATATGTGCAATAACCCCTTATTAGACATGTGCAATAACCCCTCACTACCTCACCAAGCGTAATGCCATATCCAACTCCGCCATGTGAATTACTAAGTGCGATGTTTGAAGTTCACTGTGGGAAATACTACTACCCTATTTTTGTGTATTGTGTTTTAATACTTTGCCACCCTTATGTAACTTTTTATAAGTGTTCTTTCTGGCTTTTGACTCCTTACCTGACTCCAAAGGAGAGCTGCACAAGAATTCCTATATACTGTACCTAGACTGTCTGTTTATGCATAAATGGCAAATAAAAATCTTGAAGTGTTTCCTTGTGACCTAAATTTAGGTGGTGTCTGGGGTCTACACAACGTCATGAGCAGGGACTACACCTACTTTTCATATGTCCATAAGAGGTTTTCAAGAATTGACTAAATTTTAGCTTCAAATCCACTAACTCAGTCAGTACCTACAGTAAATAGTGCCAAGATATCCATCAGATCATAACCCTGTACTGGAAGTAATTAGACTGGAGAACACCCAGCCTCAAGCATCCTGTTGGAGATCTAACACCAAACGCTTGCAAGATAGTGAATGTCGCCCAATTGAGATCCATGCTTGGGAACTTAATAGTCCCATACTCTGGGCCACAATTTTAAAGGATTTCTCTGCAACAAAGTTATAAACTTTGCATCCCACCTTAAGAAGAAGTGTCAGGAAGGGATTACTCAACTAGAACAGCAATGTGACACATTGGAAAGGGAATTAAACGCACAATACCCCCAAAAGGTTGATAGATCTCATAGAACTGAGCAGTTAACTGCATGGAGAGTGAGGACAGAGGAAAGGAGTGGAGAGGACCCCAGAGGGTCACCTGAGCCAGCCCTAACTGTAGGCTCTATCAAAAAGGAAAGTTGTAAATCTAATCCCGAAGGTAGAGAGGGCGTCTGCCTCCTAAACTGATACCTAGGAGTTGGTTCGAAGGTTGATGGGCTTGATAGCTAAAGGTTTTGTCTCCCGTTCTGCTTCTTTTAACTACAAGCAGACATACACTCTGAGAGCCAAGCGCCCTGTTAGGATGATAAGGAACTATGAGGTCTTTAAGATACAATGGAGCCCTGTCATTAAGAGTTCTGTATGTTAGGAGAGGGATTTTTAATTTTATTATGGATTTTACAGGGAGCCAGTGGAGAGAAGCTAATATGGGAGAAATATGATCTCTCTTGCAAGTGCCAGTCAATACTTTTGCTGCAGCCTTTTGGATTAAGTGTAGGCTTTTTAGGGAATTAGTGGGACATCCTGAATGTCCCTCTAAGTGTCAGAATGCCAGAATGGGATATGAAATGCTATGTGGGAAAAAATTTCACTCTAGTAGATGTCTATCTGACATTGCTGTTACCAAATTTAAGGAAATAATTCCATCATTATTTACTTGGGTGAACTTGTGGCCTGTGGTACAGCTTGCAATATCACTCCCTAAAGCAGGCATCATGAAAACTGGAAAGGAAGAAGCATTCCACTTTCTCTCTCAGAAAATATTTTATTGCCATGCACTGAAAAGCTGTTGATGTAGATTTGACAAATGAGTGGGGAAAGGGTACCATGTATTAAACCCTGTTGGTCAGTTTGCTTGCCACGTGATTGCCTTGGGTCAGTTGTGCTCTGGGTCTGACTTGTGTCAGGGCGTTTGGACCCCCTTATATGTGCTTGCAAATGTAGTTATTTTTGTGTTCTTTCCATAAACAACATATTAAACCAGTGCATTTGGTTCAGTAATGTTCTGTCTTGTTTCCTCCAGATCATCACAACTGATGAAGCAGAGAGGAGGGGTCATGTTTATGACCGGCAAGGCTCTACATACCTGTTTGACCTGGACTATGTGGAGGATGTGTACACAGTGGATGCAGCTTACCAAGGCAACATCTCTCACTTTGTCAACCACAGTGTGAGTGTCTTTAAACTGTACAGAATATACTGCAGGCATCATAGTTGAAAGTTCAGTTTGCAGAAGGACCAAACTTATTTATATATTTCTATATGGTTGTGTGCATCTCAAAGCTTTAGTATTAGATGTATTATCATTAGTATTACAGAGTTGCTGCGGGTCTTTAAAAGGTTTGAAATATAACAGTTTCAATTTTAGGTCTTATAAAGTCTTAAAAAATACTATCCATCCATTTTCCTTCGCTTATCTGGAGCCGGGTTGCGGGGGCAGCAGTCAAAGGAAAGATGCCCAGACTTCCCCTTCTCCAGACACTTCCTCCAGCTCCTCCAGGGGAGGCGTTCCCAGGACAGCCGAGCGACATAGGCCCT